AATAAACTACTACTTACTACTTGTTTTCCTACTTCGTAGTTTTTCATTTATTGCGGGGCTTCAGGGTACAGATCCCCCGTGATAAACGAGGGACTGCTGTACTGCAAAGACTTGCCAAACTCTGCAAGGTCTTTTTTTATGCAGCAAAACAAAACAAATATGTGTCTCCCAAAGTGGAAAAACTTGCTAGTCGGCTTTGTGCAGGTGCATCTAAAAGACATTAGAATATTGTGAAAAAGTTAAATTCTTTTAGTCAGTCCTTTCAGAAAGTGAAACTCACATATAGCTGATTAGGGTGTCACACCATGAGTTTCCAGTATTGAATGTTTCACAATATTCTATTGTTGTGAGACACTGAATTTTGGTTGTTCATTATTTGTAAGTCATAATAATCAAAATTACAATAAATAATGGCTTGAAATATTTAATTATATGTGTAATAAATCTATATAATCTTTGAGTTCATTTGTGGTCTACTGTCATAAATGTGCAATAATTCTTTATAGGACGTGCCAAATTAATCTTACAAGAACAAGGATCATCCTTTCAATTAGCCTCTATTTTTTATTAATAATCAAATGTATTTTTTACTGGTTACACAACAAACTATATCTATAGGTACTGAGTAGCTGCTTTGATTTTCAGTATTTATTGTCTCTTTGTTGCTTACTTACAGGTCCACCATCCTTCAGCAGCAGTTTAACCCAGTGGGTCGGGTTGAGCCCGAGTCTGTGGCTCTGAAGGGGGTGATCCGCTCTGGCTCAATCAGCAATGAGCCGCTAAGCATGGGTACCATGCCTTCTCCTCAGCAGCAGATCACAATGTCCACGATGCACCGTGGACACATGCCTCCACTGGTGAGAACTGTGGGAGTGGAGATGATATGACTTTTGATAAATTGTGCAAAAGCCACTTAGATGATTTGTTAAAAGCATATTTCTGGGCATACTTAATGCTTAATACTTATTATTATTATATTTTCCCAGCTGGCTGTAAGTTAATTTAAAATGTCACCCTATTCTTCATTTTTCACGTTTTATTTTGTGCAGAGTTCAGCACAGCAGGCTCTGGTGGGAACCATCAACACCAGTATGCAAGCTGTACAAAAGGCCCAGATAGACCTGGGAGAAGTGGACAACCTCCCACCACTGGGACAGGACATGGTACTATACTTACATACTCATTCTGCTGCACAAAATGTAGCCATAAATGTTCACTTCCAGCAGTGAAAGTAGCTCCACAGTATGTTTAACTGGGTGGAGGCCGGTTGGCTGAATACAGTCATTTCTGCTTGTGGTCCTTATTTAGGCTTCCAAGGTGTGGATCCAGAACAAGATGGATGAATCCAAACATGAGATCCACTCCCAGGTAGACGCCATCACTGCGGGGACAGCATCTGTTGTGAATCTCACAGCCGGTCAGTGGCTCTTGCATGACTCAGCAGAATGTCATTTTGATTTTTGACTCTTCTGTAGACTTGAATAAGTATCTAACAGTAGGAAGAAAACAATTTACAGTTTGTTTATTTGTTGATCATAGATCAACAAAAGATTTATGGTCTAAAATAAAATCATACATTTTAAAGTATGAACATGTTAATGTTTGCATTTATGCAAAAAAATTATAGGTTACTTTAATTTGCTATGCACCAATTCTGAAGGCAGTGAAAGTGTACACCCATTTTAGAAGTATCATTTAAGAGCACTCTGGTCTGCTGTTAAAATTATTGGACCATATTTTTATTTATTTAGATGTAGGATCTTTCTATCTGCATGGTGTTTGCTATTGTTCTTGTTTAACTCTTGTAAAATCTAACAGTGTCCTCATATTGCTATGGTTTGGAGAACGTGGTTTGACAAAGGTGTCCACTTATTCTAGTCTGTGTATCAAATTTCTTGACTTTTTCCTTCTTGTTTCTGTGTTCTTAAATTGTTTCATGTGCGAAGCCCCTAAGGCAGATATTTCGGACTCTTGGTCAAAACGTCTTCCTGTTTGAGTTGGGAGTGGCTTTGGTTTATTCACATTTTTTACTTTAAGTTTTCTATCCCTCCTCCCCTTTACTTTCCTCTCAGGTGACCCCACTGACACAGACTACACAGCGGTGGGCTGCGCCATCACCACCATTTCCTCCAACCTGACGGAGATGTCGAAGGGTGTTAAGCTGCTGGCTGCACTGATGGAGGATGATGTGGGAGGAGGCAACGACCTGATGAAGGCTGCCAGGACGCTCGCAGGTGCCGTGTCTGACCTCCTGAAGGCCGTGGAGCCAACCTCTGGGGAGGTGAGCGTTTAATCACCACCCGTCCACAGATGTGATGAGTGGGGAAATACATTGTAGATAAAAGCTACAAATATATTTAGCAAAATGGAGGACTAGATTTGTGCACAATAGTGAGCCCAAACCAAACCGTGGATGGGAGTGACCAGAGAAAAGGAGGAAAACTGCTGAAAGAAACCAAATGTGTAAAAAGAAGAGAGAGAGAGGAACAACTACTGATTTAAATGCAATCAGCAAGCAGGCTCTTCAGCTTTTGTGCTTCTGATTTGATGTCAAACTGCCAACGCAAACGGCTAATTAAATTTATCACAGAGCAGCTGCATCCTGAGCCATCTCGTCTTTTATTAGAAATTCTGTCCTGCTCCTAAACTCAACCTAATTACGTGAGCATCCTCCGCTGCTTGACTCCAGCTAACTGAATTGCCCTGGGTGATCCGAGTTAAACCAAAGGGTCTACATTTAAATTCACTGGCAGAACATCCTGTGTGACCAGCTTTAATGTTTTTATCAACGCTTTAAATAGTGGGTGGGTGTTTTCCTGTGACAGATCAATTAACATGTTAATGCACTGTAGGTCTCTGGTTGTCACCTAGCACATGGTAATTGCAACAAATGAAACCAACGACTGGACATTTTTAAAATCTTAAAGGTATTTGGCTTCTCGTCGTAGAAATCCAGTTGCCCTTATTTTTATTTGTTAGGATTCCTGCAGGTTGTTGGCAAGTTTGTATCAAATTTATACTTTAAGACATTCTTTGTCGTTCACAAAACAAAATATCAACCAAGCTGCATCAAAAGCTGAATATACAGCATTGGTATTGTACCAGCACAAAATAATAGAAGAGGTTTAAATGCAGCTTTAGGTTGATTTTCTCTGTTTGTGTGTCTCCAGCCCAGGCAGACGGTGCTGACAGCAGCCGGCAGCATCGGCCAGGCCAGCGGAGATCTGCTGCGACAGATCGGAGAAAACGAGACAGACGAGCGCTTCCAGGTGACATTTCAGTGTTTACATTTAGCACTCTTGATTTATTTAAAGGCAGTCATGTGTTGGAACTGCCACTCACGTCTTCATAATGACTTTTCTGTCAATATGAGGTGCTTAATTTGTTATATTTTAAACACACGATAAATAAATAAATGGAAGACCCACTGTGGGTCATGAAACACCAAGTGAGAGATCCTCAAAGGATTTCCTTAAATAAATAAATTAAAAAGGTTTATAATATCATATTTTAGTGGTAATTGTCGAAACATGAAAAAAGCAGTAGTCATAAATGTTTATGCTGTCATTAAATTCTTGTTTATTTGAGAAGAAATATCCTGTGCAGGAATCAGATGTCACCCCAGACTTTGTTGCTGTTGTTGCAGGACGTCCTGATGAATTTGGCCAAAGCAGTGGCCAACGCAGCAGCCATGTTGGTGCTGAAGGCCAAGAACGTAGCTCAGGTTGCTGAGGACACCGTCCTGCAGAACCGGGTCATTGCGGCCGCCACACAGTGCGCCCTGTCCACCTCGCAGCTGGTGGCATGCGCAAAGGTGCAAGAGTGTGCTTTGTACATAATTTTTAAAAACAAAACCAGACGTTGATGATTTTTATTTTTGCTGTGCAATAATTTTATGTAAAAATGTAAATAGACAAAATATTTTTTGAGCTCTATGAGTTTAAGAGAATCCTACAAGGTATTTGCAGCCAAAAACTGCATGATGATGCACAAAAATCCGTTTAAATGTCCTCTCAATCATTTTGCACATCTAATTGTATAAACCGCATGTGTTTATTTAGTCTAAATGGCCTCTTGGCTCGTATTCCTAATTGTTTCATCTACTAACTGAATCCCCAACTCCACATGGCTGTGAGATGAGATGATCTGGAGTCTCTCTGAATTTGTGTTCCTGTTTTTAAAGCTCTTCTCTCGTGTTTTTTCCAGTGACCCAAACGTTTGAGTCACATGACTTAGACAAAGTTTCTTGTTTGTTTTTTTGTCCAACTAATTAAAAAATGTATGACAATATAATTATGTAGCTTTAACACAGTACTACATTTTCTCTTTTCCTATTGTATACTCATTTTTTTCTGATTGACTGTGTTTGCCATGTTTGATTTTGTGGTTGTTGCAGGTGGTGAGTCCGACCATCAGTTCCCCAGTTTGCCAGGAGCAGTTAATTGAAGCTGGGAAGTTAGTGGACCGTTCGGTGGAGAGCTGCGTGCAGGCCTGCCTCTCAGCCACAGAAGATGGAGAGCTCCTCAAGCAGGTCAGCTTAACTCAACTACTTAGCTTTGCTGCACGAAACATTAGTCTCTCACCTCAAAGTTTTGACTTTGTCTGATAATAAATAACATCATGCAGAAAATTCAAGTTACCAACAAATGAAATACAAAATATTCACTGAAAGATACAACAGAGCAACATTATTGTGGATTATTGCAAATTTTCTTTGAGCTCCAACAGATTATTCACAGCCTGATTGAATTTCATTCAACCTTTATTTAGACAGGTAAATCCCATTGAGCCTCGAGGACTCATTTACAAGGGAGACCTGATTTCAACAAAGAATGATGAATGATTTAAAGAAGTGATCATTTAGGATAACATGTGCACTGATAAAGTGTGTCTCATTTTGCTAAAGGTAAGCGCTGCAGCCAGTGTGGTGAGTCAGGCTCTGGCAGATCTACTGCAGCACGTCCGTCAGTACACCTCCAGGGGAGAGCCGATCGGACGCTACGACCAGGCAACGGACACCATCATGACCGTCACTGACAGCATCTTTAGCTCGATGGGAGATGCAGGTGAGCTCAAAGCTTTTTTTTTTTGTATATTAAAGGCTATTATGCATAAAATAAAAGTTGTAAATAAACTAAACTCACCACAAAAATAATTACATTTAGTTCATCTACAGATTTACGATATATTTAAGCAGTGAACAAATACAGTTATATCTGGTGTTGATGTGGACTGTAACCCAAAGTTAGCTGCTTTCACTTTGGTTGCTTCGTAGTCGTGATGTCAGAAGCAGTTTTAGTCGCTGTACTACCGGTACTTTGGTTCACACTGAAATATTTCAATAACTTTCCACAAACGTCACAAACAGAAATCTCCCTCGAAAACCATACTTAAAGAGGTATTACGGTAATTTTATTTACAGGTACATTTGTTTGATGGGTTAAAATTTAACAAAAACCTCCCAGCTGCTTTTTATAATGAGGTTTTTATCTTTTGTGTATCCATGTAAAATTTGACATTCCCCTTGGACCAAGGCTTCATTTTGATAATTTTCGATGATAAAAAAAAAACATATTTTTTCACTTTTTTATGTAGATTTTTGTGAATGATGTTCTTTCAGTCACCTTTGGCGCACGGCAGCTCACAGTTGTTAAGTTTCTGAGTGCAACTCATCCTGTCTTGTCCTCCTCAGACAGGATTGGGGGAGTTTAAACGGACTGCTGTCAGCTGCCGGGATAAGCACAGAGTAAAGCTGTCAGTCATTTTAACAGCTCTGACAGAAGTAGAAAGACCAGCAGACAGAAAGAGATGCACCAAGCATGTCAGGTCCTGAAGGTCAGCTCAGGAGAATTGATTGGCCTGTTAGAACAGTAGAAAAGCTGTTTGCTCTGCTCAAGCTTCAATAACTGCAGTTATTTATAGTGCACTGTCTTTAAACTGGTGTCAGAGGCAGGTTAAGGCACATCATATATGCAAATACATATGCAAATACATATATATATATATATATATATATATATATACAATCACACAAAATATAGTAAAAAAAACAACATGAAGAAAATAAAAGAGTGACTCCTTCTGTAGTATAGTCCCAGCAGCTCTGTCAGAGAGTTGCATAAATTATAGTAGTTCATTCCTAAGTAGATTTATTATGTTCCAGGCTGGGCTGAAGAAACATTTATCTCTTTTCTCGCTCATTAGTCTCGTTGGAAAAAGAGAAAACATCAGAGGAAGTGTAAAAGAAAAATGACCAGCATTGCTTGAGTGTTTTGTTCCTCCAATAATGGAAATCCACTTCTGATCAGGGATGAGTTGCTGAGTAAAACATGAAAAAACACAGAATTACTGTCTTAGATGCTTATTCAGCTGTTTCATTTTGTAAAAGAAACCACATAAATAAGGGGAAGAAAAAAAAAATCCAAACATGTTCACCACCTAAACCCCAAAAACTGCAGATTATTTGATAAAATTAAACTATGAAGCATCACTCATCTGGCAGAAAGATTTTGCATGAACCTTTTTTTGGGTCCAGGCTTATTAAAAATATATAAAGATAACTATTTGAAGAAATGAGCTTCCACTATACCACGGGAGGTTACTGACATTAGACTAAATGAACAAGTAGATATTGACATTTTGGATCCTATTATTAGTATTAATATGATTATTAATATTATTATTATTATTTCAGTGATCCAACAAACATTTTCTAGGACTAAAATGCTTTTTACCACAGACCGAACACAGCAGTCATAGCTCTAATTGTTTTTTTGTTTTGTTTAGGTTTTTTTTTTTTTTTTTGGGGGGGGGGGGGGTCATAATTCTGGAAGAAATGTAGCAATTGTGGCCGCATTTACTTTTTATACACATTATGAAGCCAGAATGTATATTTGTTTAATTAAATATTTTTTTCCTCACTTTAATCAATATGTTTGGTTTTCACACAAGACAGGATTGATCATACTTTACTTTACAGTGAGGCGGTATTATCTGCAGGACTGAGGATTATGTTAGCCCTGTTCACATAAAATCTCCTTTCAGACCACACTCTTTTGAATAGTACTTAACCATCATTCCTCCTCTTTGTTTCCTTCTCATGTTTTGTTTTCGTTACTTTCCCCTCCTCGTCTCACTCATCCAGGAGAGATGGTCCGTCAGGCTCGGGTCTTGGCTCAGGCCACGTCGGACCTGGTGAACGCCATGAGGTCGGACGCTGAAGTGGAGATAGATGTAGACAACTCCAAGAAGCTGCTGGCAGCCGCCAAGCTGCTGGCAGACGCCACTGCCAGGATGGTGGAGGCAGCAAAGGTGAGCAACACTCGGCGCGTCATGTTCACTCTGGTCTTGCTGCAGAAATTTTACTTTCATTTCTCAAAGTTGTTTTCAATAAGAGAAAGGTTTTGATTTGCTTAAATAAAACAAAATGCAACTTTTGCTCATATTTCCAAACTCTTTGAAAAGTTTTGCTTTATCATTACTTTTATGACCACAATGTATGAGGTTCTCAGGTTCTCTTAATGTCTTTAAAAAGGGATATCAGAGCTTCTAGGAGGTTAATTACAAAAGTGGCATTTTTCCATCCAGAGGATTATTTTACCGACTGAGCTTTGCTTCTCTGGTTTCTGTAGAGTGACTTTTTTTAAATGGCAGCACAGGAAAAGATACAGAGCTGAGAACCACAGCAGTAATGTGTGGTTTGAGGGATTCTGGATTAGGTTTGGTCCTGTTAGTAAAGCAGGCATTTTGGAATCAAACGTTCCTTAAAACGTCTCCTAGTAAAATAAAAAATGCAGAGATCTTCACTGTAAAACATATTGATCCAGGACATGTTTCTGAAACTGAAATAATTCCTGATAAAACTTTGTAGACTAAGTAATAACTAAAAAGAGTGTGCATTTGATTTTTCTCCCTTTCAAGACAGATGATGTGAATCAGAACCTGGTTTAAGTCAGAGTCAGAGAGATTTGTCATTTGCATCTCACGTGGTACATGTGATGGAACAAAATTATGTACACAGGGTCCCAGTTGCATCCAACAATAAAATTTAAAAGAAAAACAGTAGTAAGAGCTAAGATATGAACTAAAAAACATCAACTAAATATACACTAAGCACTAATAGCATAAAAACATTACGTCGAACAGTAGCACAAACATGAGCCTGTGTGAGCAGATGAGCACGCATGAACACAACACATGATGTGATTTTTCACAGAGATTATCCTGGTTAGAGATTCATGAGTCTAACAGTCTCGGGGTAGAAGCTGTTCCTCAGTCTAGTGGTTCTGCACTTAATGCTCCTTAACCTCCTTCCTGAGGGGAACGGGGCAAAAAGTGTGTGTGCTGGATGAGTGGGGTCCTTCATGATGCAGGTGGCTCTCTTCTTGCGTCCAGAGGTGTAAATGTCTGTGATGGTGGAGAGACTGACTCCAACAGATTCATTCAGATTCATTTTAAAAGCTACAATGAAAAAGTTTTCACAGGTAAAACCATGAGTTTAGGTAAAACCACAGACCTGAGTTAAACAGAGCTGTGTTTTTATGTGACTGGGTCAGAGAAGGGAATAAAGGCCCTGGTTAAATGCAGCTGTGGCAGTGTTGGGTTACGAGCGGCCACTGGGGTCATTCTGACAGCGACGTGCACTACTTTTAGTTACAATCTGAAAAAGCCTTTTGCAAAATAACTAAAAGTAATCTCAGAAAATACCTCTGACAGATCTGAATATGTATACATCGGGGAAGCAAGATCCCAGACTCGCATATATTTAGTCACCTGTGGTGTCCCTCAGGGGTCAGTCCTTAGGCCCACGTTATTTACCCTCTACATCCTCCCCTTGGTCACATTATCACTCACCTCATGTTCTCCGTTTATTGTTATGCAGATGACTTGCAGCTCTATATCAAAACAGGTTCTGCAGGTTCATCACTCTCCTTTCACCACCTGTCGTGAGGTAAAAGCCTGGATGAATGCCAACTTTCTCCAATAAACACATCAAAAACAGAAGTTATTTTGGTTGGTACCCCGCATCAGACTCACTCAACATCTATCTCTACCATAATCTTCTCTGGCCAAAACATTCCTTTTTCTGATACAGTGATTAATCTTGGTGTGAGATTTGATTCTCATCTTACATTTGAATCTCATATTAAACACCTTTGCAAGACTTTGTTCTTTCATCCCACAAACATCTCCAAACTCTGTCCATTGCTCTCCTTTTCCGATGCTGAAAAACTTGTCCAGGCTTTCATCTCCTCAAGACTGGACTACTGCAATGAACGTTTTTATGGAATTCCATCCAAGCACATTCAAAACCTTCAGTATGTACAGAACAGTGCAGCCAGGATTCAGATGTAGCAAAGGAAACATGATCACATCACCCCAATCCTTAAATCCCTGCACTGGCTTCCCATTTCACTCTGCATTGAATACAAGGTTTCCTTACTCACCCATCAATGCATTAACGGCAATGCTCCCTACCATCTTAAAGAACTGCTCACTGCTCAGACATCAACATGAGCCCTCCACTCCACAAATTCCTACCAGCTCCTCCCTCCTCGGACAAAAGTGTGCGCAATGGGTGACACCATGGGTGACAGGACCTTTTGCTGTGCTTCTTGTCTGTGGAACAACCTCCCCAACCATCTAAGGATACTCCAGACTACTGAAAGTTTTAAGAAAGGACTGAAGATCTTTTTATTTGAAAGATTTAACGTGTTTAAATGTATTTTAATCCTGCTGTTTTTCAGTCTTTTTCAGTCCGTGTTTTATTCTCTCTAGCTGTTTTCTATTGTAGCACTTTGAGATTGTAAAATGTAAAGTGCAGTGCAAATTGAATAAATTATTATTTTTATTATAAATGCTGCTCGGCCTGCACTGATGTTTTTTGATAGAAATGAAACAGCTGTGTTTCGTTTATTTGTACTTAATTCTGTAATTATATTGTCGATTTAACTTCAGTCGATGAGGTTGTAGATCTTTACCTTCTAAACAGTAAATCTCACACTATGATGACATTTCTGTACAGATTCAACTTCAAAGTGGTAAAACATTCAACACTGAGCTCAGCTGGTTCAGGATTTAATTTAAATCCCATTTCTTGTTACTTTACAACTTTTCATTTCAGCAGAAAAAGAACATCACACGTGTTTTTCCTCAAGAGTGCTGAGGGGTAAACTCAGCTTCACCACTTATCTTACTCTCCTTTATCCAAACTTTCCATCTGCTGTCTCTCTGCTTCACTTTCATTATCTGCAGACAGCAGTGCGTGCTGATATTAATAACTCTCCTCTTCCACCAGGAAAATTAAACGATGCCCTCCAGCTGGTTAGTGGAGTTTGATGCCAGACTTCTCACCATCACAGCTTTGTATTTATCTGTGGTAATGGAAGCCAAGACCTCAGCCAGCCGTTGCCTTGGCAACTAATAAATTAAATTTTAACAGTTTATTAATTGTTTGTTCTGGATTTTAAAATATGTGTCAGGTTAAATTTTGGGTTGTTATATGCACACCCTCCTTTCCATGTTGCTGTGGGTGACACGCCCAGTTAATGAAGTTATCAACAGGAAAAGAGGATGTGCTCAGAGTCGACCCACACACAAACCCAGCAAATTCACACTGCTGAATACATAAACATGAAGAGAGGAAAGAGCTGCTTGTTGATACGAAGCTGAATCTCTTGACATTTTGCACCAACAAAGCTGTGCACGGTTTG